AAAAAAAAAAAAAAATTTACCAACCTTATTTCAGTGCGTCAAATTAGGGCGATCTCTTGATGATCGTGATTTTGAAAAGATCTATGTTACTATAATTAGGATTTACTTTTTTTTTATTTGAAAAAATTTTTTTTTTATACAAATGCTTACTTTAAACCGAAATAAATCAAATTCAAAAGAAATTCGGGTGTTTTACATCAATTCAATAAAGACTTGCTATTGTGAAAGATTAGCTACATCAAAATAAGAATACTTACCTTATACAAAATAGCGTACAACTGTACATACAGAAATATAGCGATCAATTACCTTAATTAGCTAAAGTAATATCGATGGGCCGTAATTTTGTCAAAAATATTGGCAATAATTTTAATAAATATTAAATTTTTTGTTAAAATTAAGTATTTTTAGTAACATAGAAACAAAAGCTGACACAAAAATGGGTTGAATATAAAATTTCTTACCTAAAGTATTTTGGCAAACTTTGACAACTTGAAAATATACCGCTATCACATAACTAAAAAAAAATATATAATCGAAAAAAAAAGTTTTCATTAATATATAAACTCAAATATCATTTATAACAAAAGCATTCTTCTAGATTTTGTAGTTCTAAAAGTGGTAAGATAATTGAATTTGGCCTGGTGTATCATTCACAATTGATTTTAAATATTGCCAATTTTTGTTTTGATCTTTATTATATGATCTAAACGATCTTCAAAATTCAAAAATCGATTAGTAAATAATTTCTAAAGTTTGATAAGCCATTGCAAATAACTCACCAAGCCAAATTTAAATATCTTATTATTTTTAGAATAGCTAAAACTAGGCAAACAGCTATATTCAAATTTTATAAAGGTTTGTATAGAAGAAAAATCTATTTTTTTTTTATTATACTTAAATTCTATTAGTCACGTGATTTTTGGTTATCTCTATTCATTTTTTAACAAAAACTATAACAAAAACCACAAATTGCAAACTGATAGTACTAACATTTACAACTAACTAAGGTATAGTATTTTGCAGATGATTTCTTTAGACAATTATATGACAAAATAGTATAATCATGAAAAAATCAATGCAAGCTACAAAAATCGCATATTATATATGCGCATGATTGACTATTATTTTTATTATGCTTAAAAAATTTTATTCTTGTGAGTAATTATTTTACTATAGCACAAATCAAGCATATACCAAGTACTCTAACTGCTAATGAAAAGATGATGATATTATCTATACATCATTATCTTCAAAAAAATATATCTAAATAATAGTCAAGTAAAGCTACCACCCTTTGTAAGGAAGTTGCCTTGGCAATAGGAGTTGGCGAAGCAACTATTGCTCATATAGTTGCTGAATTCAATAAAACTGAAGAGATAATGCCATCAAAACAAAGTCAACGGGCTTCCAAAAATTTTCAAACGGAATATATGGATGTAATTCATGATCAAATTCTTGCTAGAAATAAAAGTGGTACTCCTCTTTCTCTTCGAACTCTTATCATAGAACTATCTGAATTGGGTTTTACAGTTTCAAAGATACAGCTCGCACTCTATTTAAAAAACTTGAGTATCATTATATAAGGGAGAATGACAAAATATTCTCCATGAAGCCCCTCAAAATATTGCGTATCGGGCATGATATTTCCATTGGCGATTTGAAAATATCCAAAGAAAAAATGATATACTGACTTTTCTAGAAATTTTTCTTGACGAGTTGTATTGTCATATGTATTATAATTGTAATTTGACATGGGGTCCAAAAGATGGTGTAGTTTATGAAAAGGGAAAGAGTCGTATGTTGGTTATCTTTGGAGCTATCATTGTATTTTGCAATAGAAAGTTCAACTAGCTAAAAAGTAAAATCATTTGTGAATCTCTTTTTATTTGGGACCCTAGTGCAAAGCCACCAAGTAAAAAAAGGAAGAAAAAAAAATGCAGAAGAATAGGAGACAGTTCTCAATGAAGTGAAAGCTACAGGTATTGTTCTAGATAAAGTGGATTATCATAGAAATTTTAATGCAAAGATATTTGAGAAAATTTTTAAAAAACTTTATGAAAATCTTAGCACCGAATATGGACTATGCATTATTCATATAGATAGGGCAAGATATCACAAACGTCATGCTAAAGCTTCACTCACTTCTAACTGAAATAAATCTGTGATAAAAGAATGGCTAGAGTCCCACAAAGTTAAATATGATGCAAAAATGACAAAAGTAGAACTATACCAATTGGCAAAAAAGGAGAAACAATTTGTACCTTTCGCCACTGTTGATATCGCAAAGCAGTTTGGCCATAAACTGCTTTTTACACCTCCATACCATTGTGAGCTGCAACTAATTGAAATGGTATAAGGAGCTATAAAAAATAAAGTTGCAGAGCAACCAATATACAAAAACATATTTTCTCTTCGAAATGACTTAATTTGTTTTTTTATGAAGAAATTAAATCTGAGTTGGTTGTTTTGTGTTAGCAAAAATGTCTAGGTAAGGCAAGAAATTACCAAGAAATAGTCAAAGTTGGAATATGTGATGAAAGTGACGAAAATGAGGATGAAAATTTAGATTTGTATTCAGAGAACGAAGACTCTGATAATGAAAATTAATCGTTAATATTCTGTACGACAAAATTGGTATATATAAAATTTTTTTTTTATTATGTAAGTCATTATTTTGTACTAAATAAAAAATATTCCTTGAGATATTTTATACATATATTCTTATTTTCATGAAAATTAAAAAACTTTTTACTAATACAGTTTTTGGTTTAATTTGCAAGTTAAAAAAATTTTTGATTTTTAAAAAATTTTAATAAACGTTTGATCACAAATATCAAAAAATTCTCATTGTCAACATAGTATTATAATTAAGAAAGTTGTTCTTAATAGTCGAAAATATCTACTATAAAATTTGATAAGGATACATTAAAAATTTTCTCATTAATTTTTCGATTTAATCTGATAAACTATAATTCAAAATTTTTAATTAAATTTTTTCGCAAATCGTTTTTAATTCGTTTAGCTAATTTAAAAATTTTATAAGAAAAATTTTTATATATTGAAATCAAATTTTAAAAACTTATATTTTCTAATATATAGAACAATTCTGTAAAGTAATTTAAATAAAGTTTATTAATATTATTTATTTATTTCGAATTTTAAAAATTTATTAAAAAAATTCGATAAATTTTTTTTATAAAGTTTGAATTAAAAACTATATTAATAAAAAGTTGTCTAAATTTTATAAAAATTTTATCATATATGTAAAATGTCCCTGTAAGGATTTTTTGTTAATTAAAAAAATCCAATTCATATAAAAAAAAAAATTTCATATATTGCAAAGTTTTAATTTAAATTTGATAATTACTCTTTATAAATTAGTCAATTAATAAAATAATGTATATAGCTAACTTGTAATATATATATATTTATACCTCTATACTAAAATATTTTTTTCTATAAGTATTATTTTTTTTTTATACAATTAGTTATAATATTAATTATATATTTTATTAACATGTATTATATATATATGCTGTATCAAAAGTAACAAGACTACCTATATTTCTAAATACTATTTGTATTTTTAAGATTTAGACTAGTTAGAGTTATATAAGGGTTGCATTAACAAAAATAAGATAGCAATAATAATTTTCTAAATATATTAAAAAAAAAAAAATAAAATGTTTTATAAACTGAATTAAAATTTTGTAATTTTGATACAATTTGAAAATATAACTCAGTTAAAAGAAAAAATTTATCAATTTTAAAGCAATAATTATATATAAAATTATACTCTAAACAACTCTAGTTAGAGAGTAAAAAAGGTTATTTTAGTAAAAAAAAGTTTGCTATATATTAATATTAAAATTTTCAGTTTTTCTATATAAAATTTTTTTTCTGTTTAGATAATCTGCTCTGATCTCTTAAACAAATTTGTTTAGCACACAATTTTACATATTTTGTGTTTTGCTAATTTTGTTTTTTTAAACTTTTTTTTAGATAATTCTGTCTTTATTATTTCTTAAAAATATTAAAAAATCATATTTCTTGGCTAGTAATTCTAATATAATTTTTGTATACTATATTCTATTTTAATAAAGATTCATTCAACCAAAAGACCCAGATGTGATCTATCAAAATAGCTATTTTGCTTCACATCAGATTCTTAACTTTCTGAGGATTTGATTCCTCTAATTTTTAGCTAGAAGCTAATATCTTACATTAAGCAAAAAAATAAAAAAAATATTAAAAAAACAAAACAGAAGTATAAAGTATATATGTTACTAAAATAAGTTTTTAAAAAACTCTATTTTGTCTCTATTAAATAAAGGGAATTGCTATTTGCACTATGATTTTTGCTATTTGTACTATTAAATTGACTAGAATTATACCTAATTCTAACTAATTCTGGTTAAACTAATGGTACAAATAGCAAAAATCGTGGTGTAAATAACCATACTCTAAATAAATATAGATTAGTACTAAACTTTTATACTTTTTTAATTACTAAAATAAAAGTTAGATAAAAGCTAAAATTTTAATTAACTTTGATTAAAAATTAATAAAAATATAGAATTTAATCTAAGAATTAAAAAAAATTATTACAAAAATTAACACAACTCTCCCTGACGATCACTTAGACCAACTAGTACCAAAAGCAAGTTGAAGACTTAAAGCTAGAAGTTAATAACAACTTGAAGTTTTCTTAATACGAACTGTTGTCAACGAAGTCTTTAAATATGATATACCAAGAGCAGATATTTTGGATAGTTTGCAAAGGAGTTAAGTCTTGTTTTCTTGTTTTTTTGGATGAACTCTCTTTTGCGTTTGGTATCCAAACTAGAAGAGTTTCTGGGAACAGCAAGTAGAAAAGAAAACTCAAAAAGTTTGAAGACAGAAGGATACAACAAACTCTTGAAAGAACTCTCTTTAGTTAGAAACTCGCAAAACCAAAACTTCTCTTATCACTTTGATACTCCCAAAACCAAATTTTGACAAAAAGTAGAAGATTAGGCTACCCTGTCAAAAGATTAGCATTGTTTACCACTTCTATATTCGGTAACTTTGTGATATAAAAACAACAAACACATAGCTATATAGGAAGTAATTTATTTTTTATTTGAGAATATAGCTTCAGTACATTAAGAACTCAGAAGGTTTTTAAGGACTTATATACCAATTAGACAAAATGAGACTGGAAAAACACATAGAGTTAATATATTTGTTATACTTTAAAATAGAATATAGATTTAAAGTTAAAGCGATAAAGAGATTTTGAGATATGCATATAATTTTTAGCCCTTAGTACAGGTTAAAGTGCATTTAGTTTAGTTTTTTTATATATGTTAGCTGAGTTTTAAATAATTGCTATGATTGTGTAGACAAGTATCCTGGTTAGCAGGTACCAATTTGCTAGATAGGTTTTTTAGTTTTATATTTAGTACTTTAGATTCCTTTTATTAGTTTAGTTGCTTTCTTATTTGTTTTCTTTTAAAAATATTCCTCTTCTTATAATCAGTGTTATAAATTCAAAAAATTTTTATTAGCACAAATGCGCTTTATATATACAAAGAATGTTGATATATATACAAATTTAAATCTATATACGCTGCGTCTACTGCGTGAATCTAATTTACATCATTGCTCATAATTCCCCTTACCCTATTTGCTCTTCGAATTTTTTGTTAAAGAATTTTTCTTCAAATTGGTGATATATTATATAGGGCAATGATTCTGACAAGGTTGGTAAACATCTACTGTAGACTCTTGGGTATAAATTCTCAGTAAATTAGAAATTTCAGATGAAGTAAAGATGAACCACTTAGATGGGTCACATCTGGGTCTTTCTTGTAAAACTTTTTTTAAAATTCTTGTTAAATAGATCAAGTGATTTTTTATTAGTAAAGGTATATGTAGTTTAACTAGGTAGTTTAGCCACTACAAGAATATTCTACACTGCTAATTAAGGAAGAATTGCTAAAATAAAAAAAACCAAAAAAAATTATTATATTAAAATATAAGCATTTTTATATTATTGAAAAAAAATTTGAGTTAATTTGATAAGATAGTTGTTAATAAATTAATTTTTAAAGTTATTTTAAAATTTTTAATAAAACTTGTAAAATTACTATGTTTTTACTAAATAAATACCAAGTTACACAATACATGTGATTTCTAAATACAGTAAAATTATTTTAAAAATTAATTCTTAACAACTATCTTATTAATTTTTTTTCAGTAATATAAAAAATACTTGAAGTTTAATTCTGTTAATTTTTAAAGCCTTTAGATTTAATTTTAATTTTTTAGAAATTTTTAATTAAATTCAATTAGTTTTTAGTATCTAAAATAGCTAAAATTTTAGCTCTTATCTAACTTTTGTTATAGTAATTAAAAAAGTATAAAAATTTAATACTGATCTATATTTATTTAATACTATTTACTGTAAAAATTTTAAAGCTATAGCTTTTCTATTTAAAAAGTTAGAGGAGTGGGATATTTATGATTTCTACTATAAAATAGATTAAAAACAATTTTATCTTCAAATTTTAATTTTAGGTTTTAGACCCCAAAATAATTTTGTCAGCATGTATAGTATAGAGGTTTACAATAAAAAAAAATACAAACAAGAAATAAAAGAGTAAAGGAGTAATAAGAACAAAATAAAAGAGAAAATTGTCTAATCTAATACCATAGTTATAAGCTTGTAAAAGATTTATAAAAATTACATACTACTAAATAAACTAGCCCTACTTTAAATTTATTTATTTAGTATATCAAAGTAAAAAACTATGTAGAAAAATTTTATCGACTGAACTTGTAAAGAGGTCAGATACTATCTTAGAATATTGTTTGTATAAATATTCTATATTTAAGATATATGCGAATTACTGCACATGTTTGTTATTATTTATCTGATTTAGAAGATAAATAATGCTAACTATTTTGGTTCATATAATATCAATCTTTTGAGAGAATAAGCTAAGATGTCTACTTTTTACAAAACTTTTCTTAAAAAAATAGTGGACTAATGATAAAGTATGAGTTTCTTTTGTAAGTTTTATATATTTTTATAGACTTTTAGAACTTGTTTTTAGAATAAATCTTCTGGTTTGGATACTAAATATCTTGAGAAGTCTACCGAGAATTGAAAGCTTGATAAGGGTGCAGTGACTTAGTGAAGTGGTTAAGTTGTTGCATCCCCAAGTAGAATATTGGCTAAATAGAGGGTTCAAAATCTACTGTCGATGAATTTTAAATATTCTACTTGTACAATAGCTACTGTCTTTTAACAATTGGTTAGAACAAGATTTTTGTAATCTTGGTAGCACCAACAGGACTGGGAGATCATAGGGTATTTATGCAATATATGAGTTATATAAAAATATTCTCGGATCATATAAATCTAAGAAACCAGAAAGATGAATACCTATTTGGCAAGACCTGAGTAGAGACCTTTAATAGTACTATGTAAAAGATTATCATTAGGAGAACTAGCAAAAACTAAACAGAACCAAAGTGTTTGGCAAGGCACTTTACCAACCAGGCTATTGAAGTACCAGAGGAAAAGAATCTAATCATGAGGACTAGAAGCAGATTATAGC